TTAACCTGTTTTGGTTTTTTGCAAGATCGGTGGCATACAAGATTTTCTGGATCACCAGTTTCAAGTCGGAACCTTTCATCTCTCCGGTGATGAACCCTTTCAGACGCTCTGTTGTGTTGTTGCTAATGGCCGGGGAACGGACATGCATCTTTTTATCTTGAATCTTCATCCTCTTCTTCTTGTTCTCATCTATGGACGAAAGTGGACGCTTTTTCACAGGTTTCTTGGTGAGTTGGTGATGATGAGACGATGAGGCCTGGTCCTGACGAGCAAAGAGTTGCATCTTGTGTTGTATCAATTCATTAATCTTTTGCAGATAGTATTTGTCCTCTTCGGTCATCACATATCTGCCGGTGGCCTTAACACCAATAGTAGTCTTTGGAGTTGGAGGTTGAACTTGCAGCATCAACTTGAGTTCAAGAGGATCCTCATTCTGATCCTCCATGCTTGATGGGTTTGATTTCATGAATGAAGAACAGAGATTGAAAGTGAAGAAGAAATTAGTTTTGATATGATATGGTGGGTGATGATTGATGGAGTGGTGTTTGCGTGTATATATAATATATGATGAGGATTAATTAGGGCAAGAAATAGTTTCCTGATTATAAACAAGAGATGATCTCTATATTGTGTTCATTAAATCAATCTTGAGATATGATATATTTACGATTTGTTGAAATTCATTATCCATACCTTTTTTAATTCAAATACATTCCATATCATACAATCCATAAAATTTTCATTATACTTAAATAAACCCAACAAGCATAACTCATAGTTTAATAATTATATCTATTAAGATCTTAATTGATGATTTGTATTAGTTAATTTTTAATAAGATTGCAAATATAACTTATAGTTTAATGATTTGTATTAGTTAATTTATAGTTTAATGATTATATCTATTAAGGAAAATGCCAATGTAGAGTTGTGGCAGTTGTAACAATTAGATTACGAAACATGGAGATTATCTCTTGTTTATAATATGGACGAAACTATTTCTTGCGTTAATTGATCCTCATCATATATTATTATATACTGCATATGATGAAGATCAATTAGAGCAAGAAATAGTTTCGTCCATATTATAAACAAGAGATAATCTCCATGTTTCCATATCTAATTGCTACAATTGTAATCGATTACAATCATTTTTGGAAAATGCACAACTCTACATTGAATTCATTAATTCAATCTTCAAGATATACTTCTCATCATTTGTTTTAGTTCAAATACATTCCATATATATCATTTACATATGTATATATTCATTTTTTGTTTATTTTATTTAATATGGAAACATCAAGATTATCTCATTTTATATATATATAGAGAGAGATTATGTTATAACCGTTGCTAAATCGTTGGATTGGAAATTAAGAAGTGTGTCGGGTAAATTAAGGTTATTTACATTGTATTTATGTTAAATATTGCGATGGGACCCACTAACATATGTTTGAGTTTGAAGAACCGGATTTATTTCTTGAAAAAAGAAATTCTTGTGGACCATCAAATATTCAATTCGAATATTATTTAATATTATATGCATTTTATATTCATGATTTTAGTCATAACCATTTTCTCCCTATGAAATCGTAAAACTAATTAATAGAATCGTTTTTTTAATAATAATTTTTTAAGAATAATCAACATAACTTAACTGTTTCCTTTTTTAAATGACATATCATTCTCTATTAGTTTGGAAAATGTAATGAAGTATG